AAAAAAAAAAAAATGATGGTAATAATAATAATTTTTGTGTTTTTTTTTAATATTTTTTTTTAAGCGAAAGAAGCGGATTTTTTTTTAACGTAAAGGCGCAATAGTTAAACGGCAGCAAAAAATTGATTTGAATTCAAGTAATTTTTAATTAAAATTTTTAAAAATGAAGAAATGGAGAAAAAAAATGAAAAGGATGCCATGTTGAAATTTCTTCTTCGTCAAAGAGAAAGATATTTTTAATATTATTTTTTTTTATTAATGTCGGCATGCGGTTTGAGGTATAAAAAAAAAAAAAAAAAGTAAAAAAATTTCCCTTTTTAGTGATTGTGACAATAAAAGTGATGAATCTGCGGTTGAAAGATGGCAAAAAAAAAAAGAAAAAAAAAACTTGTCAGGATGATCGCTTTCTTTCTTAGCAAACAGGGCGTGTAACTTTTGCGACGAGTTACTCATGCGTCATTACTGCCCAACCCTACAACACCAATCACATTGTTTTTAAATCGTGGAATTAGCGAAACCTAATCAAGGTAGTACGATTTTGAAAAAATACGTGACGGTTTTTTCTACGGTCACGCACCTACACGAAATGGAAAAAAAAAAAAAATTATTGTGTTACTAAAAAAAATTTTTTTCTGTTTTATCTATTAAATCTTACACAAGTTTTTTCTTATTGCGATCTCAATAAAAAAAAAAAAAAATTTGATTTGACCCTTTTTAAAGGTTTTCAAAAGGTATGTGGTACAATTAAGATAAAAAAAAAACCGGATTCCAGAATTCATCCTAAATCTCGTTCTATTTCTTCATTTCATCTCATAATAATCGTTTTTTTCCGCCATCTTTATTTTTTTTACCATATCTTTTTTCAATATGTAATCGATGAGGGGAAAATAAAATAAAAAAAAACCGCTCGATCGTTAACATAATTTTTTGTAAATACGGTTGTTGGTTGTCTTACCTTGTCTTTTTATACCTTTAAAATTTCAAAAACTTGATTTTACTTATTTGGATAAAAATTTATTACTACTACTCCCTGCCTGATGTTTGCCGACGCCATTTAACGAAAAATTTTTATTACTTCGGTGGTAATAATAATAATAATTAATCGCATTTAAAAAAAAAAAATTAATTTATTTATTATTTTACAGCATTCATTAAGAATTTAATTTGGTCACAATCAATCGAGACATTTATTTTCAGGTACGGGAAATATATTTTTAAATAATCCGTTTTTAAACCTTAACTACTAACTAAAATTTTGTTTTTATTTTTTCTAGATTTTTGAATACGGAAAAAAAAACCCTCGAGGAATGGGTTGGACTCACGTTTTTTTTTTTTCGAATGATCGTCGTGGCACTGGAAAACTATTCAACACGTGCATTTTTTTAATTTTCCACGTGTTATATATCATAACAATACAATTTGAATACAAAAAGAAATTTTTTTTTTTTTTTTCTGGAGATCAGTTCTGTCGAAATAATAATAATAAATTCGTGTAAGTAATTTCAAAATTTTTTTTTCAGATCAGATCAGGATGAATTTTTTTTTTAAATAATAAAAGTCTAAATTTAAAGTGAATGGTTTTTTTTTTTCTTTCAAAAGCATGGAGGTATTCGCAATAATAATGATAATCGTAAAGTTCTAAAACCAAATAAGTTACGGATAATACTCGTTCAGGTAAATTTATTTTTATTTTTAACTTAAAAATGCCATCACATGGCATCCTTTAATTTAAATAAATTTCTTGATGATTAAAATTAAAAAAAAAAAAACATTGAAAAAAATTATTATTATTATTTTTTCCTTGTTTTTGTGGCATCGAGACGACCGAGAAGAGTGTAGTGTAAACGGGATATAGTTTGTTACTATCCTTCATGAAGAAATTGAAAATACTTGTTGTCTTTTTACCTGTTACGAAGATTCAGGTTCTACAAAAGCAAGTTTATGAACGTATTGAATGACGTCACAAAACCTGGTAGAGGGGACACATGCACACACGGATTCTTTAGTTTTAGTGGTGAAAAATCTTTGGTTATAGTAAGAAGTGTTTTTTTTTTTAGTTGTTTTTTTTTTTAGTTATTTTTTAGTGCAACAAGAAAAAAAAATGTTTAATAGTTTCAAATAGCGGAATTGTTAACGTTTAAAAAAAAAAATTTTTTAATTTAAAAAAAGTGCGTTTTTTAACTAAATATTAATTTCGCGTTATAATATCGTGATACGTAATATTTATATCGGTAATTTTTATTATTATTATTTTTTTTTCTCTCTCTCTCTTTCTCTCTCTCTTAATATTAACACTACTGAATTTATCCGATTGTGTTTGTTTGTTTGTTTGCATGCGTACCTTTTAACATGTTTATGTTTTATTCAAACGTCGCATTATTTTTATTATTATTATTATTTTTATTATTTTATTATTTACGGTGATTTTGTTTTAAATCGGTCATGGCTCGTTTCATTAAACGTCACAATTGAATGTTAAGGTGTAAACCTTAAATTAATGAGGGGATTTTCTTAAATGAATACGACCCTCAAATTTTACGCGATTAAGGTATTAATTTTGACACAAATGAAAATTTTTGGAAAATGTCGAAATTACCTCCCCCCAAACAAAAATTTTTCCCAAAGTTACGTGAAAAAATTTGAATTTTTTTTTTTTTTTAAGTTAGAGTTAGGAGAAATTTATTATTATTTTTTTTTATGTTTTGGATACCTTATTATTATTATTATTATTATTATTATTATTATTATTATTATTATTATTTGATTACGTATTCAATTAATAAATTAAACTAAAGAAAGAAAGAAAGTGTGACCAAAACTTTAAAGTTTTGTAATGAAATCATTCAATCAATCATTCGTTTTAATTTTTTTTTTTTTTTTTTCATCATTCGAATGATGGAGCGTATTCGTCATTATTATTATTATTATTATTATTACCGAATGAAATAATAATAATAATAGTAATTTTTGTTAAGGACGAAAAGTAAGGAAAAAAAAAAAACTTTCACGTTTCCAACCGCAACCTTTTCAAAAGTTTTCATTTTTTTTTTTTTTTTAATTTTGGTTGAGTTGATGAAATAATTTTTTTTTTTTTTCGTTTTAATGACTTTCTCGTAAATTTATTTTAATTAATAATAATGATAATTATAATTGTAATTTTGAAAATTCAAGGTAAATCCAATGTTTAAAAAATCTTACGCAAAATTAAATAAGTAATAGAAATATTTTTAATTGCATCAATGAGAAAAACTTTTTTTCCACTCTCTCTCTCTCTCTAGTTTTGTTTTTAAATGCATGACTGAATCGATATCACGATACGTCGTTTACTATCTTTTGTCATTTTTTTTTACGTTTTTTTTTTGGGGGGGGAAAAAAGTAAATTACTCTCCGTTAAAAAAAAAAAAAAAACGAATTAAAATTTCTCACGGTAAAAAAGAAAAAAGAAAAAAAAATTTCTTGTGGATTATTCGCGTGTTTATCTTATACGACGATTGATTGATTTCGATCACAAATCAATTTCAAATCAAATTATTAATTGAATTGTTTTTTTTTTTTTGCGAAAGGTAAAGAGAGAGAGAGAGAGAAAATGTCTTCGTCTTCTTTTTTTTTGTAAAAAATTTTACATTTTCCACATTCGTGGAAATTTTATTACTTAATGACGAATTTTCTTTTTTTTTTTTTTTATGATTATTAATATAGTCGAGAGCCTTGACACTGATGGCATCCCAATACGTTACTGGAATTTTATTAATTAAAAATAATAATTATAATGATACGGTTGGATAATAATAATAATAATAATAATAATAATCGTCATTGATGATATGCTAGAAGTTTTACCCCTCACGGTTAATTTAAAAAAAAAAAAAAAATATATTCAGGGTTCTTTCGATGCGTAAAAAAAAAGGAAAAAAATATTTTGAAATTCAGGTACAAAAATACAAACAAACACAAACTCGACACCTGCTTTTTTTTTTTTTTTTTTTAAATATTTCATCCCTTCTTTCCTTTCCTTTTTTTTTAATCCCCTAATTTTCTAATAAAAAAAAAAATTCCTTTTAAATTTTTGTTTTTTTTTTTTATTTTAGTCAAAAAAAAGTTTTTTTTACGTGCAGTCGCGTGTGTGTTATTGTGGTTAAGTGTAATAATAATAATAATAATAATTAAAAAGAAAAGTTAAAAACATACGAAAAAAAACAATGCCTTGTTCAGCAGTGACGCTATCATTAGCAACGATATCAGCAATCGTGGCAATAGCACTTTTATCAATCGCATTTTCAACTGATAATTGGTTATACATCGAAGTTAAAAGAGGAAAAATAGAGGTGAGTAAACACAAAAAATTTTACAACAACAAAAAAACGGTTTTTTTTTTTTTTTTTTTTTTTTACACATAAACCATTCGTATATAATAATGATAATAAGTAGGGCGAATTTCTAATTCCTTTTATAATAATAAAAAAAAAACAGGTAGCCGTATTTTGAACTTGAAAAAAAAACACGACAAACATGGTAAAAGGAAACAACGTGAAAATTTTTTTATGTGTTGGTGGATTCATTCCAAAAATGGATTCACAATCCGAATAAATAAAAGTTCAAGTTTGAGTTTAAATTTTAAAAAAATTACACATCGCAACCATTTTCTATTTAAAAAAAAAAAAAAAAAAAAAAATGGAGGGAAAGATTGTTTAGAAAATTTAATTTGTTTTCGTTAATTAATAATTTGTTTATTACGGTTACGAATTTTTTTCAAAACAAAAATTTTCCGGATGGAATTTATCGATAAAGAAAATTTTTTTAAATTAATAAGCAGACGAAAAACTTAACGGTTATCATGTTTGCACACTATTCGAATACGAATTCAGTCACCGAATGTAAAAAAAATTTTTTTTAGTATGTTTTAACCTCGTTTATTTTAAAAGGAAATCGTTCGAGCGGGTTTTTTTTAAATTTATAGCATGCATATAGTCTATAAAAAATTATGGTCGAACGTATTTGTACGAGTATTAATGATGATATTACGGTAATTATAATTTTTCTTAATGTAATAATCAGACTAATTATGATTACCCGTTGTAGCAAAAATTACTCGGTTGAATAATTTCTCCCCCCCCCCTCTCTCTCTCTCTCTCACTCATTTCGATTCGACAACTGGCATAATTTATATACATAAATATATTTTTTAAATTTTACGAATGTTTAAAAAAAACATGGCGTCGTATTATTATTATTATGCAACCATACGTTTTGTTGTTGTTGTTGTTTTTAAATGCAAACATCCCATGTTAAATTTTATAAGAGTGTGTATATGATTTTGTTGTTTTTGACCTTTGTCCTATTCATCAGGGTGAAATTACGTTACAAACAAAAAAAAGTTTACAAAAAAAAACGTGTTTTAAATACTAATAATAATAATAATAATAATAATAATAATATGGATTTTAAAATTTATTTTTCACTTGTTTGTTCGAGAGGTTTTCTTTTTTTTTTTTTTTTATAAATTATAATAACAATGTCAATGAAAAGAAATTAATAAGTCGTTAATTATAATAATCGTTATTATTAATACGAAACGAACGTGGAAGTAGTAGGAAACAAAAAGTTTGATTTTCACCTGAGTTTTAAAAAAAAAAAAATTTTAGTTAATTATTAGAAAAAGTTATACCTGTAATATCATCATCATGACGATTTATAATTATTTTATCACGTTTTTAAGGTGCGGCCAAACGCAACAACAACAACCGTGATAATCCGTACCTGTAATAAAAAGGTATAACTTGGTATCAATGCACGTACTTTATCGTATTTATATATACATACATAAAATTTCGACGCCATTTACATACATATATCACTTTCATTTAAAAGAAATTTTTTTTTTTTTTTTAATAAATTTTACTATTGGTCTTCTATGGCCGCACCTATTTTTCGTTTGACATTTAAAGAATAAATTTTAAAAAAATCTTCCCAAAAAAAAAAATTAATTTATTATTATTATTATTATTATTTTAATGATATCCAATTTAAATATAATTAGTTATTGATGAAGGTATATATAAATATATTTATATATACGAAGGACGATGACTGTAAAAAAAAAAAAAAAAAAAAAAATCAAAATGGCAACCGACCAATTTAACTAAGGCCGACAAAAAAAAAAAAAAAGTAACCGACAAAATGACGGTACGTGAGAAAATTTTTAGGTTTTAAAAATTTTTTAATTAATAATCATTGAGTTATTGACTTTAATATGAATCATTATGAGGTACGATATTCTTATATAATTTTTTTTACCGTTTTTTTTTCGATCCGCCATTTTTAAAAATAAATAGAAAAGAAAGTTTTTTTTTTTTTTATGTCGGAGAATTTTGTACAATTTTGGGAGGAAATGTTATGGTTAAAAAAAAAAACAATGAGTAAATAAAACGTTAGCGAATCTTAAAAATGTTTAATTAATGATTAACAAATTAATAATAATAATAATTAAATATTTAATACCGTTATTTTTTTAAACGGGAAAAAAATGAATCCGGATATAAATAATTGTTAAATAAAATAAAAATATTTTTCGAATGGATTAAAATATCTTCGGGATAAATAAAAAAATTTGTTTTTTTGCGGTTTTCATCCCATTATTAAATTCAAAAAGAAAGAAAGTTCAAACAACAACAACAACAACAACAACAGGTTAATCTAGTTTAACTAACAAACGGGAAAACAAACAGGAAACGTTAGTAGGTATTAAATTATTATTTTGCGACAAAATTTTCCCCGAAGGGAAAATAAATATTTAACGTTAAAATTTTTTTTTTCCTTGTAAATAAAAAAATCTCTTCGATTTTATTTTAGAGATTCGAGATGTTCGTTTCGAGAATCGATCGATTTATCGATTAATTTTTTTTTCTTCTTATTTTTTATCGTCTGCTTTTATTATTAAATATCACAATCGTATCTACCACCGATATGATATCGTAATTTGAAATTAATAACGTTGCTTAATTTATTTATTTATTTATTACCCCATCGAAATCAAATTCTAATTACACGTTTTTTTGTGTAATTTTCAGACTAACAGATTTTTTTTTGAGGAGTTGCTCCTCTATTTCTTACAAAAAAAAAAAACTTTTCTCGTTACATAACTTAATAAATTATTACTTAAATGTATAAAAATAATTTGATATCAATAATTTAAAAAAAATATATATATATTATTAAAAAGAAACACCGAAAATATATCTTTAAAAACTGGTTAAATAATAATAATAATAATAATAATAATGAAATTTTTTTTTTCTGTAAACTGGTTATAAAAAGGTGATTCATAATGATGTCAGTGTACAAACAAACAACCTTTATAATATTTCGACCTAATTAGTTAATAAATTTTCTTTTTTTTTTTTTTTTTTGTTTGGATTTGCCCCGGTTAATTTTTAAATTTTAATAAAAAAAAATTATTTATTTCATTATTATTATTAAATTTATTTTTTTAAAAAAATGGCGCAAAATACAAAAATGAAATTTTTTTTTTTCGTTTGGGAAATTTTTAATTATGTTACGCTCCATTCTTTTTTCATATAAAATTCTTTTTAAATGGCGTTTCTCGATTTAAAAAAAAAAAAAAAAACTTGTCCGAAAGTCACTTTCTACTATGATACAAGTTTTTTTTTTTTTTTTTGTTGAAAAAAATCCAACTATGAATTCCAAAAATGAGTGAGAGAGAGAGAGAGAGAGAGAGAAAAGAGAGGTCGAGGACGTTGAACTGCATTTTTATTTGCACTTACAAAAAAATTCTTCTCCTTCTTCTTCTTCGGTTTTAAAACTAATTCAAAAAACGTTTTCATTAATTCCCTCCCCCTATCTCCTCCCCCTTTCTGTCTGCCCCCCCCCCAAATAAATCGTGTTTTGTTAGAAAATCTTGTTTTTTTTTTTTTAAAAAATAGTTGGACTGAGGACAAAAAATAATTACTCTAATAATAATAATAATAATTTGTTTTGTAAATTTAAAGATTCGTGATTTAAAATTTCTTTTTTAGACCAGAAAGGAGGAAGGGAGGGAAGAGAGGGGAGGGTATTTAAAAATTAAATGAAAAAAATAAGAAATTCGATTTTAAAAGTTTTTTTCTGTCTGGAATTTAGGTTTTTCTGTTTGTTTTTCTCCTTTTCATTTTGAAATTTCACGGTGACATTTTTAAGTATGCAATATTCTGAACATTCTGAAGGATTTCAAAGAAAAAAAAATTTTACAGTATGAATGTATAAAAAAATATTCGAAAAAAAAGGTACGAATGTAATTTTTTTTTTTTTTTTTAATAATAAAATTCAAGTTTATCTTGTAATTAAATTTTTCGTGGAATTAGAAAATATGAATCATCCGTAAAATGTTATTTATTTATTTAAAAAAATCAAACCGATAGAATGATTATTTAGAATTTAAAAAAAAAAAAAAATGGCGAACCTCAAAACAAAAACAAGTTTTTTTTTTTTGCAACTGAGTAGGTCAAATATACCTAAAGATTGTTAAGTGAAATCTTTTTATATATATTAAAAAAAAAAAAAAAATATTTTTATATAATTTTGGCAGATGATAATAATAATAATAATAATAATAAAAAAGAAAGAAAACGAAAATTAAAATTAAAAATTTTTTTTGTCTACCAAGTTCATATTCGAGGTCAGGTTTTTTTTTTTTTTGTATGGTGGCACTCGTGTCATGAATCTCGGCCAAAAAATTTGTTTTCTCTTCTCTC